GCAAAGCAACGGTTATGCTCACGAATTTCAGCAATGAGTACAAACATGTGAACAAAGGAACAACGGTCGCATACATCGAAGAAATTGTCGAAGCCACCGGTGCTTTCGCCCTCGCCGATTCTGCGGAACCTGCTCAGAGGAACCAAGCCCCTCCAATAGCTTTCGACGTCAATCCCAGACTTCTGACCGATAAGCAAGAACAGCTCAAGGCCCTACTCCTGCAATACGAAGATTGCTTTTTGTCGTCATCGAAAATTTGGCAGACCCCAATCACGAAACATCGCATCATAACCGAAGAAAATGCCAGACCACTCCGTCAGAGTCCGTACAGGGTTTCGACGCGAGAACGTGAGGCCATGAAGAGACAAGTTGATGAAATGCTGCGGGATGACATTATCCAGCCGTCCAAGAGTCCATGGGCATCCCCCGTTGTGTTAGTGAAGAAAAAGGATGGGACCCTACGTTTCTGCGTCGATTATCGCCGCCTGAACAAAATCACCAAAAAGGACGTGTATCCTTTCCCACGAATAGACGACGCACTTGATCGGCTCCATAACGCCAAATACTTTTTGTCAATGGACCTGAAGACTGGCTATTGGCAAATCGAAGTCGACGAAAGAGACCGAGAGAAGACGGCGTTTATAACACCGGACGGCCTCTTTGAGTTTAAGGTGATGCCCTTCGGCCTTTGCTCAGCGCCTGCAACTTTTCAGCGCGTTATGGATACAGTACTGGCAGGATTGAAGTGGCAGACTTGCCTTATGTACTTGGACGACGTCGTCGTGTTTTCCTCGAGTTTCGACGAGCATCTTCGGCGCCTTGAAGCTGTACTTAAAGCCATCAAGACGTCCGGACTCACACTGAAGCCAGAAAAGTGCAGATTTGTGTATGAGGAGCTCTTGTTTCTGGGGCACGTTATCAGCAAGTCTGGAGTTCGTCCCGATCCACGGAAAACAGCCGCCATCGCCGACTTCCCGCCGCCCACCGACAAGAAGGCCGTGCGCCGATTTCTGAGCCTGTGCGCCTATTATAGGCGGTTCGTGAAAAACTTCGCCCGCATCGCCGATCCTCTCACTAACCTTACCAAGGCCGACGTGGAGTTCAAGCGGCAAACGCTACAGAAACACGCTTTCCAGGAGCTTAAACATCGCCTCCGTTACTTGCCCATTTCGACAAATTCGCCGAGACAGAAATACATACTGACGCAAGCAGCGTAGGTCTTGGCGCCGTTCTTGTGCAGAGGGCTGACGGACTTGAAAGGGTTATTAGTTACGCCAGCCGATCACTATCCAAAGCAGAAGCAAATTATTCCACAACAGAAAAGGAGTGCCTAGCTATCATCTGGGCTACGTCGAAATTTCGCCCCTACCTCTACGGCAGGCCCTTCAAAGTTGTGAGCGACCACCACGCCTTGTGTTGGCTTGCCCCCTTGAAGGACCCTTCAGATCGCCTCGCACGATGGAGCCTGAGACTTCAAGAATATGACATTACTGTCATTTACAAGTCCGGCAAAAAACACTCCGACGCTGACTGTCTCTCTCGTGCGCCTGTCGACCAACCGCTACCCGACAACCCGGATGACGACTACTTCTTGGGAACGATAACTACCGACGACTTCGCTGAACAACAGCGGGCCGACCCAGAACTCAAGGCTATAATAGAATACCTCGAAGGCAGGACCGTTGAAGTCCCGAAGGTATTCAAGCGCGCACTTGCGCGGTTCTTTCTACGAAACGGTCTTCCACAAAAGAAAAACTTTTCACCGCTTCGGGCTAAGTACCTCCTTGTGGTGCCTTCAGCTCTGCGACCAGAACTCCTGCAGGCCCTGCACGACGATCCGACGGCAGGGCACCTCGGTGTTTCTCGCACGCTCGCGAGGATACAAGAAAGGTACTACTGGCCACGTCTTACCACCAACGTCACTCGTTATGTGAGGAAATGCCGGGACTGTCAGCGACGCAAGACACCGCCGACAAGGCCAGCGGGACTTCTGCAGCCAATTGATCCACCTTGCTGACCTTTCCAGCAGATTGGTATGGACCTACTGGGGCCGTTCCCGACGTCGGCTTTCGGAAACAAGTGGATCGTGGTAGCTACCGACTACCTCACCCGCTACGCCGAGACAAAAGCCCTGCCAAAAGGCAGTGCATCCGAGGTAGCTAAGTTCTTCGTCGAAAATATCGTCTTACGTCACGGCGCCCCGGAGGTCCTTATCACCGACAGAGGAACGGCATTCACTGCCGACTTAACTCAAGCGATCTTGGCATACAGCCAAACAAACCATCGCCGGACGACAGCGTACCACCCACAGACCAACGGCCTCACCGAGCGGCTTAACAAGACGTGGGACGCCATTCTTCTGTATGTGACCTTCGCATACAACACGGCGGTGCAGGAGACGACGCAGATATCTCCATACAAATTGGTCTACGGAAGGAGCCCGGCAACGACGTTCGATGCCATGTTACCCAACGTCACCGACGAAGAAAACCTCGATGTGAGCGAGTACCTTCAAGGCGCCGAAGAAGCCTGACAACTTGCGCGTCTCCGTATCAAGAATCAACAGACGACCGACAGCCACCGTTACAATCTTCGACGACGCTTCGTGGAATACCAGCCCGGTGAACGTGTTTGGGTGTGGACGCCGATACGCCGACGTGGACTAAGTGAAAAGCTTCTGCGACGGTACTTCGGACCGTACAGGGTGGTTCGACGTCTCGGACCACTTGATTACGAGGTTGTCCCCGACGGCATCACGAACTCTCAACGACACCGATCGCGACCTGAAGTCGTCCATGTCGCGCGCCTCGAGCCGTTTCATGCGCGTTAACAAACTGAAACAGTGTTTCTTTTGTATTATTGTTGTATCGTAATTTATTCATTGTACTTTCTTGCATTATTGTTGTACCTTCATCTTTAGTTAAAGCATCGGGACGATGCCTTTATTCAGGGGGGGGGGGGGCAATGCCACGTTCCATTTCCCAAGTTCTTGTTATCGTCCGAAAACACCACACGATTCTCAGCGCAAACCGCGTCTGCAGTTTTCGAGAAGGTTCCGGACTGTAGTAGATCATTTCGATAAGATCACGCCCACTGTGCGAACGGTACAGATTGTTCTGGAACCTACGCCACCGCCAGCGATAACGCTAGAACGTTCGACAGCAAGGGTATAAATGCCGACGCGCTTCACCGCTTGTCAGTTGTTGATCGAAGGCCGACGCTCCGTTCGCCGCTATCAGTCGGAGACTGCTATATGTGCAAGACTGCTGCTGTAATTGGACTTTCCGTTTACCGGGCACAGGTTCGCCCAAATAAACAGTTAAATCCCAACACGAAGTCTCCTGTCTTCGGCCACATCACGACCCCGTGACAATACAAACAACATAACACAGTAACACACCAAACACACAATAAAATACCCAAGGCAGCATCGCCAACACTTGACTTACCACGTGGGCCCCCTGGCGCGCAGGCCCACAATGCCTCGCGCCGAGGATCCACGCCGAGATTGCCGCGAACGGTTGTTGCGGCGGTTGCCGCAACAACCGTTCGCGGCAACCGCCACGCGCAGAAGAGACTCGCTCTACTCTTGCCCGCCACCAAGGCTCTCTTCTGCCAGGGATCACTGCCGGCGCTACCCCATGATGATGATGACAATAGTGGTGCTCAACGCGAATAGAACACCACCAATTGCCGGCGATCGTCACTCGAAATGCGGCTTTGGGGTGAGACACGTGCGCCACACGGGGCAAACAACTTTACAGGGGGTGTCAGCACTCCTACAACATAGAGGAAGATTCATGCATGAACCAAAATAAAATGTGACCAAACTAATTTGATATGAACGCGGTTATGTCCTTTGTGTAGCCCAAGCAAGTTGCTTGTTTGATGACAAAACTAGACTAAATTAGGCGTTGCACGCGCAAATTACCATATAGGTCAGATTGGTGCAATTGGCGCAGCACTTCCACCCCTGAACTTATCATTTCTACGTGCCATCCCGAATGGGGATACAGCAAGCGACATCATCGATGTCAAGAGTTCTCTAAGCGGCTCGCTGGTGCCGCTAAGAAAACTCAAGCTGGGATGACGATGTCAACAGCGGCTATAAACACAGCCTTTTACCACACTCCAGACTTTGCAGCGGCAGAGCAAAAAGGTAGCACCCTTCCCCCCCCCCCCCCCCCCCCCCCCCCCCCCCCCCCGGAACATATCGGCATTCAGGGTCATTCACCTATGTTTTTGCACAATGAAAGGTGCTGAAGTGACTTATTTGAAAAGCTTCAATGATATTGAAGATGCCTTGAACTAGAAGTCAAGCTTACTGACTACTTCCGTGTGAGATACAGTCCAGTAACTTGCAAATAAAGAAGTTGTCACCTTGTTCTTTACTGAATCAGCATGTCAGCGCTTGTTACAATTTCCAAAAACCTTTATGAGACCTGCAATGCATTATAGGCTTTGAATACACATATTTTGTATTTCAATTTATAGACATATCAAACTATTTCACAATCCCCTTGAAGTTCAAAGTATCCAGAATCGACTGTAAGTTATTTTTTAAGTGACATACTAATGCCAGCAAAGTGCAGCAGCCTTCCAGCCACTTGCAAAACAATGATAAAAACAAGAAAAATTGAGAAATAAAGATAATGTCGTTACATAAAATATGGCTACTGCACAAGCAAGACATGCCCTGTAAACATACACAAGCACTCTCAATGAATGTGTACCCATCAGAAAAATGAAGAGAGTTTAAGAAACTTACAGTAATGAACTGTTTGATCTCTGGACAAGATACAATAAGCTCTCATTTCTCACAATAATATATATGTCCATGCCATTATCACTGCTTTGTGAGCACCCACTTGTAAACAGCATTTGCATCCCTACGGAAGAGCTACACGAGTGAGCATATCACACTAGTAGTACTTTGAGGGATAAAAAGCAGGACAGAAATGAATTAATGAGTGTACAGTATGGATACGCCGAAGACTCACCACAGGAGGAAATAGAATATCTAGGTCAGTGACACCAAGAACATCGAACTGGACTTTCCCATCATGAATGGCATCCAGAAACCGGGGAACCACACTCTCTCCATGAGGTAGAAGTCGCACAGCAGGTGTACCACGGTTCTCTGCATAGACACAATTGCGTACCATATAAAAATGAAACAAGCTCCTCCGTATAGCATAGAATGAAGACTATCATTGGAAGGTTACTGTCAAACCTTCAATTAAAAGGGATGAATTTTCAACTAATACAGATGTAAGTTAAATGCACTGATTCCTTGTAGATGGCTTTTTTAATAAAACTTCTCATTATGTGATCACACTGACTTTAGTTCAAGCAGCCATAGAGATTATTAACAAGTCCATTACTACTATAATTTACTATAATTTTGTTTCCGCATAACTTTCTTCGAACATTGCTTCACTCCTTCCAAAGTGTGGTCAGCTCAAATGTTTACCACTGAATACCGACTGGTGAAAATGGGTGAAACATGTAGTAAAAGCTCAGTAAAAGCTTGCCAATACAAATTTTATGAAGATGCTCGCTGAGCTCAGGTTAAAGAAATCTTGAGCTGCAAGTAGACTCAATAAGAACATCTCTGAATAATTAAGTATGGCATGCTGAAGCGAATGAGGCTTTCAGTCATGAGAAATGGGTAATTATCTACTTGTACCAGTGTAAAAACAAGATACAGAATTTTAGTGTCAGTACTGTTAAAAAAAGAAAAACAACGGTTAAGCAACAGCCTACATCGCCTGATGCCGCTCTCAAATGTTTAAAGGTTCGACAGAGATCTGTCTGGCTGGGTAAAAATTGTGCAAATAAAACAAAATCTCCAACTAAGAACTAAAAACTGGCCTGACGTTTTGGGACCGATCCAGTCCCTTCCTCACACGTGACTAGCGGGCAGGCTTTGAACCTAGCAACTTTTCTTAGCAGTGTAACCCTCTCCACCGTCGTTCTTGTTGCTGCATTGTCTTACCCACTGGTTTCATAGACACTCAGCAGGGTCCAAGTTGAGCGGTTAATATTTCCAGGGGACTCTAAGAATTGCCTTTTCCTCCGGCTGTCTTCACAGCTGTTGTAGAAGTTGATGCGATGGACGATTTTTTCGCTTTGTTCTGTGCGAGTGTTTCGTAGAGCATTGAAGCTACACACATCATTTTGGTGTGGCCGTATCCTTTCTGAAAAGTTCTTTTGTGTCGCCGATGTAAGTAGTGAAACGATCAGTGCATGGAAACTTGTAGACTAGCCCAGGGAATTTTTCTAGGAGCGAAGCTCCTAAAGTCGTGAGTCTGTCTCTCCTAGCTCGTCATGGTTCGTGACCGCCTAGTTCGAAAGTGTTTCAGGGCCCCTTTAAGTCCCCCTTTTGTAGAAGAGAGTAAGCAGGGGGAATTTTCCCGGCCGTCATGTTGCTGGCACACTTGGCAAGTAAAGCTACAGTCGAACCTCGATATATCGAACGGTGCGGCGATCGCGAAATAGTTCGATATATCCAAAATTCGATATAAAAAAATCACGAAAAAAAATGCGTCAACAGCTTGCTGAAAACAACCAACGAACCGTTCAAGCGTGGTGCAGTAAATACTCACTTGAAGATTCAAACATAGTATTTATTGTGTTGGTTTAAAATATTGAAAAAGAGTAGCCTGCTTTTTGTTGGCCATGGCGTGTTTGATGACTGCATCCTCAATATAGTCCAGCCGATTCATAAGTGATAGGCCGGTGCCTTCGATCGCGCCGCAGTGGCGGCACACAAGGGCCAAGGCAGCTACGACCTGAGCTGATGTCGGGAGCGGGGCACCATCAGCGCTTGCGGGATCCACCTCGGCAGAGTCTTCATTTGGCTGCTCAGCAGTAGCTTCGGCGACAATCTCCACATCCGTGAGCTCCGCCGTTCAGAGTTAGGCCTGTCGCGCGCCACACATCCGTGAGCTCCGCCGTTCAGAGTTAGGCCTGTCGCGCACCACAGCGCGCGACAGGCCTAACTCCGAACGCACGAACACTACGAGCACAACGACCAATGCGTGCCGATGCTACGGGGGAGGAGCTTGCAACAAGTGCGCAGTGTGCCGTTGAAACCATAGAGACTGCAACGACTGCAAGCTGCAAGGCTGGGGCGTGAGTCCGTGTGTAAAGCGCGCACATGGCGCGCCCATGCCGGCTCGCCTGACTGCTTTCCCTTTCCCGGCGGCAGCACGGGCCGCGTCCGAGACAGTAGTCTGCGTCCTTTCCCTCCTATACTTTCCTCCTCAATCTTTACCTCCCAATCCCCCTTCCCCTGCGCGAGGCCATGTCGGTGCCTTCGTATTAAAAGAAAATAACAGCTCCGCGCTTTTCTCTTCACTTTCCTCATTCAAGAACCTCTACCGCAAGGCTGCGGCACGCGTACGCCGCTACGTTAAAGTGGCGCTCTCGGCGCCACCGATGTGTGCAGCATTCGTAAACGCCCGCCGTTCTACCCCTACTTTCGAGAGTTGTGGGAAAGCTCGCCGCCTGTCAATGGAGCGCGGGCGGTTTGGGGTGGCTGAGTTCGATATATCCATTATATAATTAAAACTTTGTTCGAAATAAAAAAAATCAATAATGCATGCGATTTCCCGCGTGATATAGGAACCGTTTGATATAGGCAATAATTCGATATATCCGTGTTCGATATATTGAGGTTTGACTGTATTCATGCATCCATTGCTCAGGAGGTCAGTAGCGCTTATTTTTTTTCTGCTTTTCCTTGCTTTTTTTTTTTAGTTGAAGATGGACTATGCGTGGTTCGTGAGTGTCTTGACAACCAATGCCTCGTAGGTGGTCAGGTGGTTAGTGCTGAACTACACATTAGAATCTCGATAATACGATTACGGTTTATGGGAATTTCGCGATGCTACGAATTTCAAGGTTGCTTCGGATGGACTACATTATATAAAATACGCCGTGCTTCGGTGTCATACAAACGGTTTCCTCAGCTACCATGGATGATACTGCTACATGCATGCATATTGATATTCTATGAGGCGATGCGCGTGTGTGCCTGATGAGGAAGACGAAGGGTTGTCTCCGCTCGATCGCTAGTGAACCGGTCACGCCATTACCGCTGGTTTTAAATACATCTAATCCCCAGCCTCGTCGATACAGCATCTCTTCTTTTCCATAACATGTTTGGTGGATGTGGAACGTTCCCCGTCTTCACCACGAAGCTTCGCAGTGGCCGCACCGTTCAGTCTCCAGCCATGGCTATCAATGACAACAATCCGTCAGCGTCTCCATCTGTAGCTCCAGCCACTACATACCTGACGATGTTCACCCCCCATGATCCTCCGCACAACCTGAGCTTGAACATTCTCCGCACAACCTGAGCTTGACATTGACTACTGGCTCTGTATATACGAGCGTGTTAGCCAGACACACCGATGGGATCCTACCATGATGCTCGCCAACATAATATTTTACTTGGACGGCACCCCACGGGTCTGGTTCGATGCCCATGACACTGAGCTCACCAGCTGGGATACCTTCAAGGAGAGACTACGCGACATCTTTGGGGACCCGTACGGTCACCAAATAGAAGCGCAAAAAGAACTCGCTACTCGTGTGCAGTCCTCAACTGAGTCATATGTCTCGTACATACAGGACGTACTCGCGTTGTGCCGGAAAGTGGACAAGCAAATGACAGAGAGTGACAAGGTGGGCCACATACTCAAAGGAATCACGGACGACGCCTTTAACTTTACGCCCCCCGGTTCTTTGGTCCAGCTCTGGTCTCCGACCCGTCAAGTTGGCTTGTCAAAAAAACTGCTTACTTGCTGCACAGGTCCATACCGAGTCCTTCGTGTGGTTACTCCTGTAAAATATGAAATGGGTCCTCCCACCCCGTCGCCTTCATGTGCCCAACAGGCTACCGATAGTGTACATGTTGCGTGCTTGAAACCCTACAACTCTCCTAGTAACGTTGACATTTAGATGCGCCGAGACGGCGCTTGTGCCACCGGGGGTTATGCTACATGCATGCATAATTATATTCTAGGGGGCGTCGCGCGTGTGTGCCTGACGAGGAAGACGAAGGGTTGTCTCCGCTCGATTGCTGGTGAACCGGCCACGTCATTTCCGCTGATTTTAAATACATCTAATCCCCAGCCTCGTTGATACAGTGTCTCTTTTTTTCCGTAACAATACGAACACACGATTGACCGCTGCATGTGAGCGATGCAATGCGGCTTGTCTGTGGAAGGAAGGCCTGTTCACTCTTGGCCTCTGAAAGAGTGAATGCGGCGAAACTCACTGGAATTTCCCTTACTTCTCTGCCGCAGAAGCGGCCAGAAAACCTTGCCGAGAGGCCATCGCGAAAAAATCCATCTGAGACCATTTCTGCCACCACAGAAAGCGGATCCCCTTTCTGCAACGGCATTGGCTACATCGACTGCACTAGCATTCAAACCATGTGATGTTAACAACCAGCTGTACATTGAACATGGCGGTATCGCGTTGCCGTCATCGTGAACTACGCACACAGCACCCCAATGCTTTGGCCTTAAAAAGGACTTGTTCATCGAGAGCCTGGTATGAATTACGATCTCAGCGAACACCGAAAGTAGAAGGCAAAGCAGCAGCGAATTGGCGTGCCCTAACGTGTCTCGTTTTGCACTGCCAGCTGAACCCGTCGCCACCACTGCGTCCGCTTGTGTCGTTTCTTCTGGCGTATCTTCTGAAACGTTTGTAAAGGTGTAAACTGTTTCTTTTCAGTGCTTTGCATGCATAACTATAACTCGGTGTGAATTTTAATGTTCAAAAATAAATTCTCAAGGAGGGGCAGAACGTATGTGAACATTTCCGATGGACGCGGACATGATTTTAGAGCCACTCTGGCGTTTTCGCTTGAATTCTCCAGGACTAATTTTTATTGTGTCGACTTCGCAGCGCGGTTTTCCAGCCACTGAAGCGGCGAAGCGAGTGAATTGCTAATAAGTTTTGCTGCTGTTGCTCACTTCAATGCCAAGTGTGAATGCACCTTATAGCACCAGCAGCCTGAGTCAGAAAACTGTGGCACTTTATTGAGAGGCTGTAAAAGCAGGAAAGTTCAAAAAAAAATTAGGGGCGTTTTTTTTAGCAAGAAGTTGACCTCAATGCTCTTGT